CCCCACCCTCCCCCGGGTCCACGCTTGGCTGCGATCGGTTCTGCTTGTTCTGGGCTCACGTCTCCTCTGCGCATCTTTGCTCCACCCCGCAGATCCGGAGGCTTCTGGAGGCCGTGGGTTGACGCCGGAGGCCAGCAGGAGGAGGCCGGGCACGGAGTCGCGCAGGCGGTGAGTGAGGGCGCGTGGCCGGCGGAGCCCCCGAGGGGCGCCGGTGGCTCTCCAGGGCTGGGGACCCAGGGCCCGAGGGAGACACGCGCCCGGCCTGCCCCTCGCTTAAGATCGCGCCTGCCCGTGGCCCTGCGGTGGCCCTACCGGGGGCCATGCCGGTGCTGATGAGGCGAGTGTGTCCTCCAGAGCAATTGCGACACGGGGGTCGGACCGCGAGCGAGGCTGCGGAGAGCCCTGGGGCCACAGTCCCCGAGGCCGCGAGGAACGCTCGGTCGCTCGCGTTTCCAGCTTCTAAGAAAAGGTGAGTGAGAACTATGATTCATCTCCTTACGTCCGCAGATGCCCGGAATGACCGAAGCCTCTGGAAAGCTTTCCCGATACAGGCACCCGGTCAGGTGAGTGACAGGCCACTCGGAAGGTCTCCTGCTCCTCCAGCCCCAGGGAAGAGCCTGGACTTCGCACCCCCAGCTCAGCAGCTCGTCCTGCAGTTTTTCTATTGGAAAAATCTATCTTCAAGGTTATTTTATCTTCCCAGCCCCAGAGGTCCTTTACTCATCGAATTGAAAAATGTAGCTCCCGCCCTTACTGAGAACTGTTAATCAGTGCATGCTCTGCAGGAGCTTAAGGGATACAGTATAAAGGGGGAAAGTGGATTATGATACTGTAAAAGTTGAACGTTGATATCTTGTGGCTGCAAAACAATGTTGTTTTTTATGCCAAGGGCTCCGGTTGAAATTGACTTCATACCAGGCAGAGTGTGTGTATTTTTATTCTCACAAACCAGAAAGAAGAAGGGTGTTCACAGCTGCAGCTTTATAGCAAATCGAGCAAGCTGAGCTTGCCTTGTAAGAGGACAGGGAAATTCGGTGGAGATTCTAAAGGCTCCTGAGGATCATCAAAGGGATCACAAGTTGTTTCGCATAACAAAGAGCTGGTTTCCCGTTCTAGTCCCAGGAAGTCAGCCTTTCTGTACGGGTTCTTCCTAGCTTTTATTCAGATAAAAGGCTAATTTTGCAGTCTGCCTCCTTCAGAGAGCTGTTAGGTGAAGAGCTAGATGATGTTTGTAAAATGTGTGCGTGTTTATAAATAGCATGTTGATTGATTTTCTACCGAGTGCTAGCAACTAGTGAAGGACACAGGAAAAAAATAACCCCAGCCCCGTGGGAAGTGTGGGAGAGTTCAGTTTGGTCAGTTTTACACTTCAGGGCATGACGTGTCTAACTCCAACAGAGGGAGTGGGGAAGGGTGGGGAAAGTGTATATTATAGGTTGCGGTCTTGAAGTTAGCCAAATGGACGGTAGGTGGGGAAGGCCGGGACAGGGGAAACAGCATGGGGAAAGAGATAACAGGCTCCTGGAACAGCGTGCTCCTCTGGAAGCATCGCGTTGCTGGAATTTGGGTGTGTGAAGCTGTGGTCATTCCCGCACAGAAGCGAGAGGCCAGGTCCTGTATACCTTGGCACAGAGTTTTGTCTTGCTCCTGTAGGTAGTATTGGGGATTACTCAAGGGATTTTAACCAGAAGAGTGGTGTGATCAGATTTTATATTTCAGAAAAATCACTAAGGAAATGGTTTAGAGTTGCCGTTAGGACACCAGAAATGAAACTGGAAGTTATTGCAGTTGTTCAGGCAAGAATTATAAAGAGCCATTCTAAGGCAACGGAAGTGAGGATGGGACTGGGTGAATTTGGGGAATACTTACAGGGCAGTAGATCAGGCTGATAATGTACTGGATATGGTGCATGAAGACTAGGCAAAAAGATAGGATGGCTCCCAAGTTTTCGGCTGATTACCAGGTTAAATAACGGATTGGAAATTAAGGCTAAAACAGATGTGAGGTGCAAGACAATGAGCCCAATTTTCCGTTTATGGTACTTAATGTGCCTGTGGGGCATCCAGCTGACACTGTCCGTTAGAGAACTGCATGTATAAATCAGGAACTCAGCGTCAGTTTCTTAAGTGGAAATGTAGAGCCGGTAAATAAACAGTTGGGGTAATCATGGCGGTGGGTAGGGCATCCTGGGGAGCCAGAGAGGAGAGGTGATCACTTGTGTAAAACCGTGGGTAAGGCCAGCACCCCAACTGCATACAGAGAAAGAAGGCCCATAAGGGAGACAGAAGAATCTCTCAAAACGGGGGTTCAGGGAGGGATCGAGCCTCTGGAAGAAAACGGCTGGTGAGAAAATCTCGAGGCAATACTGTAACAATTAAACAACATTCTTTTGGTTTGGCAGTTCCAGTAACACATTAAAAAATCAACTGCTTCCTATATAAGCAATTCTTTCCTTTTCATTATGATTGTACTTCTCCTAAGTTTATTTTAGTTTTTAAAATTTCTATCTTGAGTAGTATTATGTGTTTCTAATTCTTTTTACTCAGTTGTCAACTGCTTGAGTGTAGGGATCATGATTTAGTCATCTTTGAATTATGAATTGTATCTGGCACAAGAAAGCACTAAAATATTTATTGAATGACTGAATTATCCATGGTTACTAATTTGACACCAAAATTATAAACTATTTTTTACCATTTTGCTAAAAAAAGTTATAAACTATATTGCCTATTTTTTTTGCCTTTTAAAATGGAGTATACCAAGCATAATGTACCATCTCTTTGTCAGAATCACTCTATTATATGAATGCATGGGGTTATTTACACTGAAATGACTAAACTGTAGTTGGAGATTCAGCCTTATCCCCCCTCTTTTCTTTTCATTGGATGAAAAATAATAGAAGACCAGATGGCAAGTTTCATATTTTTCAGAAATTTGAAATTCTGAGGTGAACATGTTTACATGGGAATTATTTGTATGAAACCAGTGTTATTCTCAATATCTCAGTATGGTGTCCCCAAATTTAATTGGATGGGGAAAGGAAAGGGAGATGGAATCAAGACTGGGCTTAGAGGTCACCTTTCTGTACCTCGAGTAGCGAGTGCATAGACAAACTTTAAAAAGAATTGCTTTTTGTACTTGTATGAACTTCCATTGGCTACATCTGTAGGAGTTAAATGTGTGAGCTTTAAGCAAGATTCTAGGTGATTTCTGTCTCCGCATAAGGGCATAATATTTTGTTGTTTTTATGCAGTTGGATATCATCAGCATTTTAATGTAGTGGTAGGATTCATTTTCTTTTCCTAAAAAACTGGTAAATTGGAAGACAAGCCTTCCGTTTTTTAAGAATAAATATATCTATAATGCCTGAAGTAAGCTAAATATTGATCTTAGTCTTACACAAGCTTTAGTATGAATTTGTTTGCCTCAATTTACAACTTGGATAAAGATTTAAAGTAATCAACCAGTTATTGATGCTTTGGCAAGTAGACTCCACGAAAGCTATGATAGTAGCATTTTAAAACTACATCTTAAGGCTGTGTCTAAATGCATAAGTCAATTGTTAAATACAGGAGCTCTTGAAATTTGAACATTTCATGAGTATAAGAATTCTAAATATGAAAAAGGTAAAGTGTATTATGTTATCTGCTTTTTTCAGACTATTTTGGCCAAAATCAAAGTGTTATGATTACTTATATCAAGAAGCAGAAGCTCTTCTGAAAAATTTTCCAATTCAAGCCACAATTTCATTTTATGAAGATTCTGATAGTGAAGATGAAATTGAGGAACAGATCCGTGAAAATTAATCTAATTAGTTACTTTTGATGACATTAAACATTTGTAGGATTTAAGTTTAGTGTGCAAATGTATCATAATCCTTTAAACTTATTTATTTGTATGTAAATTATTAATAAAATGAATATTTTGTAAATACTATGGTAGTTGGGCCTTTTTAAAATCCCTACACTATTATTCAATGCTGGAATTTAAAAGTAGGTGACATTTACAGATGTCCCAATTTTATTGTAAACATTTGATCATTTTGATCTCTTCATCAAATTACAAGTTTATCTGTAGTAATAATTTTGCAAATAGTTATAACTTTTCATAGAATGACAATATTTTCAAATTGAACCTTATAACATCTGCTATTTCCTACTGATTTCCATTGGATATTGTAGTTACAGATGAATATTATTAGATAATGAAGAAAATCACCTTATGTTGCCAATTATACATTATTATTATGTACTTGCTAGCAGATGGTGAAAAGCACTTTAAATCATTGTCAATAATTGAGAATGGGAGTCATTGTTAGGGCTATTACATTTTAGGCATTTTTAATGAATGACAAGTCCAGTAATTGTCTTCTGCTGTCCTTAAACTCAGTAGTAAGATAGCATGGGTGTTCAATACTTACGGCAGTACATTGAGGAATCCCCAGAATTAAAACAAAATGTTTAAATGGGCATGACTTAAATGGAGTCTAAAACAGGGCAGCCAAAAGGCAAGATTGTGATAGTATTTATTCCACTTCCTGTCCAAGAGGCATTTTGGCAGATATGAAACATTTTCCAACAACATCACCTTTTTTTCCTCTGGTTCCCTGCTCCTGATATCCTCATGTAAACATTTTCTTATGGGAAGTGAAATAAGAAATTCTCAGTGATTAGTATTTTAAAGTAGATTTATAGAAGAATACGTAATCTTTAAATGGGAGAGAAAAGGAGCACTTCTCAAGGTAAAGGTGACATTAAACTATGGTAATGAAGTTCTTTTTAGGTCAAAATTTTTTCACAATAATCATTTCAATTGCAAATAAAAAATGTTTCTATAATATTTCAGAATGATAATAGCCAGAGATGGTTACCTAGCTAAGAAATGCCTCTTACTTGAATGGCTACTTATATTCCCACACTTTTCCTTCTAATTGAAAAGATCTGATGGACATTAATTTACAGGCACTTTAAGTACAAGACAAGTGAAATAGGGCAAGTTCAAACAATGGTTCAGACTCAGGAAAAGTGAGTAATGGAATGAGGCTGGGGAGAGCTATTTAGAACTGTCTCTTCTGAAAACTCTCTCCCTTCACTGCATTCTATTCTCAGGATGTGTGTGTTTCCCAAGGAAAATCCAGGTTTCCAGGCTGAACCTTAAGCCTTAGAGACTGTTGTTTACCTCCCCAATATTTGTGCTTCTCATTGACATGTTGGAATAGTTTGAAGAACCACTGCCATTTATTGAGTGCCTACTTTTTAACCAGGTACTGTATTCTGTAGTTTACATATGACATCTTATTTAATCCTTACTAAAACCTAAATTCATTATGCAGATGGGAAAATGAGGCTTTGCAATACTAAAGTATCTTGCATCAGGCTGCTCACGTGCAGAGATGGCATCCAACCTCAACCTGACTCTTAGATCCTCCAATCGGGGTGGGCTGCAGCAGCATACGCTTTCCTGTATCTTTCAGGGAAGTTAGATAGCGAGGTTCTTAAAGATGAAGTTTTCTCTTCATCCCACAGGAGCAGCTGTTTGCATTTGACACCTTGGCTTTTAACGTTTCTCTTTCCTGTACAGCCTGGTGCCTTAGAGGAGAGAGTTTCAGAGAAATCAGAATTCTCGAATAGTATTATTGTATTCCGTATTTTAAGCTGTGTAATGGTAGTGCTTAACAATGGGCAGACCCTTGTGGGTCTGTCTGCAAGAGTTTATCCTCAGATTCGGTCAGCACCAGGGCTGAGGAACAGCATCTCTCTTTCATCTTTCCGCGGAATAGCTGTCACCTCCTGGAGGTGCTGAAGTTCAGGGCTCAGAACCAACGGAGCATGCGTACGTTCCCCTGGTTCCGCCTTCGGTCCAGTTGGCCCCGCCCTTCGCGACTCGACGTGATGCGACGTGATGCGTCATGACGCGCCTCACCCCCCGGGCGACCCCGGAAGTGGGTCGGGGGCTTGGCCTCTGCCCGGCCTCGGAGCCGGAGCGGGAGGTGTAACCGAAGAGGGGCCCGGCCGAGCGATCCCAGCGGGCAGCGGACCCCGGGCAGGGCCCGGCCCAGGGGTCCAGGATGCTGAACGTCCCTTCCCAGTCTTTTCCGGCCCCCAGCTCACAGCAGCGCGTCGCCTCCGGGGGGCGTAGCAAGGTAAGCGGCTGACACCAATGGTCTGGCTCGGAGCTGGCGGCGGCGGGCGTTTCGTGTTCCCGCCGCCTCTCCCACCTCCGGTTCTAACCTGTGGCCCTCCCGCCCTAGCTGGCGTCTTCTTACTCCGCCGCCTCCAGTCCTGTAACTCTTCTAACCTCCCTCTCACCTCCTCGTCGCTTTTCATTCCCAGCCCTTTGGCCCTTTCTGTCAGGTCCCTTCGCCCCCGTGTCCCCGCCGACTGGACGGAGGTGCACGGGGTAGGGCCAGGCTGCGCTCGCGGGATTGTAGGTGCCGGGTAGTAGCTTCCTTCCCTCTCCCTGTCCTCCTCTCCAGCCTTTTGTTCTCCGCTTTCCCGGGAGCTCTGAGTGGTGTGGGTTCCCCAGCGGAAGTGGAAGGTTGGGCAGTGCCGACGGCGACCAGGGAGCGTCGCTCCGAGCGAGCGGCGGGGACTCCCCGCGCCAGGGGAGACTGGGGGACGCAGAGCAGACGTCCGCGAAGCTCCCGCTGGGTGGGCGGAGGCTGCTCCAAGTCATGCTGCCCTTCTTCCTCCCTTCCTCTGGTACTTCAGTGTGTGTTTGTTTTTTATCACCGCCTTTTCTGCTGATATCACTTGATGACTTCGAAGCTACAGTACTCGAAGTTTTTGTTGAACACAGTTACCGTCAGCAACAGGTGGAATACAAACGTATTTTACATTTACACAAGTTAATAGAATTGTCTCCTTTGTTCATGGCAACTTGAGTCGCTTCCTCCTGCTGGATATGTTGGTTCCTCATTCTGTCACCACATCCTGTTTTGTTTTTGAGATGTCCATCTGCTCGGACATCTCAAAAACTCCTTTTTCATTTCTGGACTCTTGGGTCTTAGCATCGTTTGGGACCTTTACTGACTTTCTTTTTTTTTCTTCTCCGTTAAGATCTGGTGTTCAACTCTAGATCAGAATTATGGGTTCAGGGATCTGTAGCTTTCATTAGCTTTTCAAAAGTCTGTCATCCCGACTATAATAATAATACAGCTGAGATTTATTCAGTGCTTCCTGATGGCATGTATATTCTAAGTGTTCTCGTTGCTTTTACGTGTATTAATTCGTTTAATCTTTACAGTGACCCTATTAAGTGGGTGCATTTGTTATCCCCATTTCACAGAAAAGGAAACTGGTAAGGGATATTTCCGTAGATTTCATAGGCTTTATGTGATGTGACTCTGGCTCTGACATTTTATTTATTGCTCCACATATCATCCAGCCATGTAATCATTTGTCCCTGACTTCTTGCTGTTTGACCTATTTCTCCCTTTAAAGCTAAATGTTTGGCTGAGTAGTATAGCCTCCCCAGAGAAAGAATCTATGAATTAGATTATGAGTTTCTGCCCTTATCCATTAAAACTACCAATCATGTTCTTAGCATCCATCTAAAGGAGAAATTTTAGAGCAAAGACTAAAGGTTCGTAGGTCGTGATGGCAAAGGTGAGTCTTTGGGTCCAAAAAAGTAACAAAAGATTATTATGAAATTCAAAGGGAAGCTAAGACTGTTGTGTTTGTTTTTTTCCCTTTGAGGAACAAGCTAATCTTGATCATGTTAGAAGCTGAGTTAGGATTGTATGAAATGGGCAGATTGAGAAATAGAACCTAATTGGGGAGGTTGTATATCATAATTGTTAAAAAAAAACCCACACACTTTTGAATGAGAAAGACCAAGATTCTTTTCCCAACTCTGCCACTTAAGCTCTTTGACTCTCAGTTTCTTCAGGTGTAAATGGGAATGACAGTACCCATTTTATGGGGTTGTTTATAGGATTAAATGAGATAATGTTCCTCTTAGCACAGTCTTGGTATATGGAAAGCACTCACTAAATGTAACTAAATACCTCTCATCTTTTATTAAATATCATGGACTGCTGTGTATAACCCTTGGCCTGGCTAAAGTGTGCACTCAATATATGATATCTGTTAATTATTTCTACTAACACTAGTAAATAAATATTTATTGAGAACCTACCTTTTCTACAGATATATCTCTATTTTCAAGGAGTTTAGTCTAGTAGGCTGCATGAACTAGTAAACAGGCAGTTATAATGCCATAAATACTGTAATAGTGTGTTAGGACAAGTTGGGGTCTGACAAGGCTTTTGGAGGAAATAATGTCTGTTGTGTGTGGGCGGGGTGGGGGAGGGTAGGTCCAGGCATGGGGCAAGTGTTTCATAGCAATCAAGGAATCTGTTTCCATTTTCTCATTTAGCTAAAGCATATAAATGAGAAGGAGCAAAAGTTAGAACATGGCGATGGTGAGGTAAACTATGACTAGATTCTGAAGGGCCTGTAAACCACTGTAGGAATTTAGAGACATTATTATAAGGTAATGTGGGGAACCACCAGAGGAGGGAGGGCCCATGATTAGTTTTGCATTTTCAAAATATTACTTTTAACTACCATGTAGCTTATGGAATCCACATAGACAAGAGAGACAAGTGATTTTGGTTTGGGATAGGAAATACCATATTCTCACAGTTTACTTTGTTTATTGGGACCAAGAGACCTAGAAAGTTTCTGTGATGGTAAGAATGAGATGATTTAGATTGATAGGAAGGAATATAAAATTGGGTCACCATAGACCTGTTAACTTGGTTATTTTGGGAGTAAATAAATGCCTAAAATAGGTATGTCTCAGTAAAGTGAGGTAAATACATGTCTTAGTTGGTTCAGGCTGCTGTAACAAAGTACCATTGGTTAGGTGGCTGATAACAACAGAAATTTATTTCTCACAGTTCTACAGACTGGGAATTTCAAGATCAGTGCACCAGCCAATGGCCAATTCTGTGTC